GTTCCAGGGGGTTAAAAAAGGCCTCCTGAAGCTAATTGATGTGTTTGTGTAAAAAAAAAAAAAAAAAATCTAAATAATATATAAAAAAATATTTAAAACTTTATAAACCGTAATCTCAAGCTTCTGAATACTGTTATACGCGCATTCACTTGAGAGTGGCGTTCAGTTCTCAACAGCCATTAACCACCATTATAAAGCTTGGAAGAGCTGGGAAGTTTTTTTTATATAACTCTGACTGTGTTCGTCTAAAGAATAAAGTCATATACACCTAGGATGGCTTGAGGGGGAGTAAATAATGGGGTAATTCTCATTTTTGGGCAAATGTAATCTCCTGTTGTAAGCGCAGAGCCTGATTTTTCTAGTTACGCTAAGCTTTTGTGTCAAAACTGAAGTACACTTTGGCCTTTTTATGTCACTTTAGTCATTTAATCTTCAATCTGATCTGCATTTCAGCTGATGACACCGAGATCTCGTTTGACCCAGATGACATCATCACCGGCATCGAGATGATTGATGAAGGCTGGTGGCGAGGGTACAATCCGGGTGGACATTTCGGCATGTTTCCTGCAAATTACGTGGAGCTTATCTAACACCGCTCAACATCTCCCCCTCCCTCGTTAGAGTCGGACTGAATTCATTTGCCCCGCGTAGATTTAAATCTCTGATATAGTTGATTGAAAAGCCTAAAACTTAAATCACGGACCAAAAGAGTGATGATCATGTGACCAGGGGTAACTCTGATATTTCATACTGTATTGGTAGTTTTCTGTTGTTAATTTTATTTCATTTGAGGCTGTTGTAATTTAAAAAATATTGATTTCGAGTATGCAGGCAGACGGCCCAAAAACGACCACCTAGAATTGCTGTCCGTGCAGGAATCCTGGGAAACTTCATGTTGAAGAAGTGCTGTGGTGACAGTCCAGTGACATGCGAATATCCTTTTGGGGCTGAACCTTTTCTCAGTGTTTGCGAAGACGTTCCTTTTGAACATTTCAATGCTAGTTCCAATATTCCAGAGGTGTTTGGTGCAGGTGTTTGTAGTGATCAGTCCCGTTTTGCCTTGGTTTTTGCCTTCTTTCTCCACAAGACCGAGTGTGACTGCCTTGCATTCTTGAGGAATAGCGCAGATGTTTTGCTGCTGTGAAGTTTGCCGAGGTCGGACTGAAATCGATCGAGTGAGATGAGTTTATTTTTGCTGTGTTCTATACGTCACGTGTTTGAAATCCAGAAAGCCGCTTCAGTCGTCAAGTATTACGGTTCTTGATATCCTTCTAGGCTTGCAGTGAGAAGAGTGGGAAGTTACTTTGAGACCGCAGCTTTTCCTGTCTGCTCCGAAATGTGGAGAATATTAATACTGTGATTTTTAGGTTTCAGGGAGCCATCATTCTCTCATCATCTTGCCTTTGGGTCACAGGCGGGATCTGGATTGTGTTTAGATGCCGAGGATCACGTCAGGTTTATTTAGACCCTTGCATTTTTACCGTTCATAAACGTTATCGTCAGTGCTGTGCCAATATGAGAGCGAGGGGAGAAGTGTTTTTGAGGAAATGTTTGAGGTTTCATTTTTAACAAACCCATGTGGAGAAACATCAAATGTCTCCGAGTTCCATTCAGCTGTGGTGTAGTTCCTCTCAAGAGCTCATTGTGAATATCTAACAAGTCTGGAAAACGTTGCAACTTCAATTAAAAGAATAAATAAAGAGTTTTAAGACTGAATGCAAGTTGTTGCTTGGTGTTGTTTGATATTCTTCCAGTGCAAAGCTTTATTAAAATCAACCAAAATGTCATCTTGATACGAGGCCATTCTAGATACAGATCCACTACCGTTCAAAAGATTTTTGAAAGAAATGAATACTTTAATTGCTTTAAATTGGTCAAGTGACCGTAAACGTATTTAGAATGTTAAATGTTTTCAAATAAATGCTGTTCATTTGAACTTTCCATTCATCAAGGAATGTATCAAAAAAAAAAAATTACAGTTTCTGCAAAAATAACATTGGTAATAATAGTAATGTTTTTTAGCAGCAGATCAGTATATTAGAATGATTTCTGGAAGTTCATGTGACACTGAAGTAAGGATGCTGAAAATTAATCTTTGATCACAGGATTAAATTACATTTTAACCTATTCATATAGAAAACGGTTATTTTAAATAATATTATTTCACAATATTACTCTTTACTGTATTTTGGATCAAATAAATGCAGTCTTGGTGAGCATAAAATACTTATTTAAAAAAATACACAAACTTGAGACCTGCAGAAGAAAATGTGAGTTACATTTTGGGATTTCATGGTGTTTTTTTTCAGTTTTTGAGCTTCAACAAGCATTTGAAATTGTTTTGTGTGTGTGTGTGTATTACATATATACATGTATGGCAATGCTTTTTTTGAATATGTTAAACAATGTGTGAAATGTTTGAAAATGTTCTCAGTCAACAACACGTGGAAACTGCATTTATTAAATCAATTAAGAATACAGAGAAAGAAATCTTCCTTTCCAGCTTAATACCATCTCTATAAATCTACCATATATATATATATATATATATATATATATATATATATATATAAGTATGGGTCAAAGACGAAAAATAATTAAGAGTAATACTGCTTTAAATTGTTGTTTTTCCCCAAAAAACGTTTTCCGTTTAATTTAATTGCAATTTAGTTTTTCCGAGCAAAAAAAAAAAAAAATCATACATTTTTCCCTGATTTACAGAAGACACCCACTAAAATGTCATTCAGTGTAACAATCTTGTCAGGCATATTTACAACAAAAATCAATTTATGACACATTAAAAGACTAATTACTTTCACCTCAAATACTAATTAGTTGTAATTTAGCATTTTTGAAATTTGCCACTATCCTAGGTTTTGCCCATTGGTCAGCAATATGTTTTTACTCCTTTAAAACACAATCGAATTGAATATGTTCCCTTATTCTTTTATGTATTTTAATATGTACAAGTCAGAATAAGCATGTTGTTTGAATTTTTACGTAAATATTGTGTTACGCTGAATGACAATGTAACATTATTTAAACCAGATTTTGACATTTCATTCTCCTAAAACTTATTTGAAACCTTAAACGTAGACACTTACTTTTAATGCGTTTTCTATGGACATAAAATCACTTTTGTAAATGTCTTTTAATGCGGACATCCTAACGTCTTTGACCCATATATACAGTGTATATATATATATATATATATATATATATGGGTCAATATACTATATATATATATAGTGTAACAGATTTTTTTTGGTTAATATGTAACATCACCAGCTGTAAAACAATAAATTACATATTGAAGTGTCCCCAAATGTTAGGATTATGCATAATTTTCTGAGTGGAACCAGTTGTGCATTTGAAAGGAACACGTTGAACTGTTTTGCACTTTTTTGTTGTTGTTGTTTTTGTTTTTTGCATTTAAAAGTTCCTAATCAATAGCCCTTGCGTTCATCTTTAAACGGATTGCTCTCCCAAACATGAGATTCTATCATCATTTGCTCAACCCACATGACTTTCTTTGTTCCGTGGAACACAAAAGGAGTTCATTAATGCACTAATTAAGAGGTATTATATGATTGCTCTTTTCCGTGCAGTTTCAGTGAATGGGCAGGAACGCTTTCAAGCTTCAAAAAGCAGAAATAATGAGTGAACTATAACTATCAAATACAATTTAGTCATTTAGTCAACTCGGATACACATCTTCTAGATCTTGAAAGTTGGCAATGAAGGTCATTGTCTGTGAAGAAAAGTTTTCAACAAATCAAGGCCTCTCAATTCTAAAAATGGAACTTCAGCTCACTTCTTTTGGAATGCGACAACTGATGACGATAACAGTGATCATGATGCATATTTCATATTGAGGTATCCAATGTAAACAAACGCACTGTTACCAGGGAGTGCTTTTCTCATCGATTTCCTTGTCATATACAACAAAAGACGGTTCTAGAGACCTGTGACCTGCGTGTGTCATGCTCACGGGGTTTCCTGGAATAAACGAAATCAACATGGCCGTTTGGGGATTTTTTTCTTTTCTTTTTTTTCTTTAGCTTGATCACCCCCAGTTTCATTTTCAGAAGAAAAGAGACTGTACTTTTCCCCCCTTCTTCAGAGATCACAATCTTCTTGTTTTTTAACTGAAAGTCTAACCGATGTTTCAGAAAACATTTCACCTATCCGTTATTAGTTTCTCCATCCATATTACCTTCTATCCCATATCATATCTACTATAACTTTGAGATCTGATATTTAATATTTAGAGTGTTCTAGATGGTTGCCAGGTTTATGTGATCACTAGAGTGCTCTGGGTGGTTGTCAAGGCATTGTTATTCAATCTCTAGACTGTTCTAGATGGTTGCCAGGTTTATGTGGTTGCTAGAGTGTTCTAGATGGTTCCCAGGGTTATGCGATCTCTAGACTGTTCTAAATGGTTGCCAGGGTTATGTGATCGCTGGAGTATTCTGGGTGGTTGCCAAGGCATTGCTACACGCTATCTGGAGTGTTCTAAATGGTTGACAGGGTTATGCGATCTCTAGAGTGTTCTAGATAGTTGTCAGGGTTATACAATTGTTAGAGTGTTCTGGGTGGTTGCCAAGGCATTGCCACGCGATATCTAGAGTGTTCTAGATGGTTCCCAGGGTTATGCAATCTCTAGAGTGTTCTAAATGGTTGTCAGGGTTATGTAATCCCTGGAATGTTCTGGGTGGTTGCCAAGGCATTGCTACACTATATCTAGAGTGTAGAATCGAAATAGTTATCAAGGTTATGCAATCTCTAGAGTGTTCTGTGTGGGTGCCAAGGCATTGCTATGCGATCTCTAGCGTGTTCTAGATGGTTCCCAGGGTTATGCAATCTCTAGACTGTTCTAAATGGTTGCCAGGGTTATGTGATCGCTGGAGTGTTCTGGGTGGTTGCCAAGGCATTGCTACATGATATCTGGAGTGTTCTAAATGGTTGCCAAGGTTATGCGATCTCTAGATTGTTCTAGATAGTTACCAGGGTTATGCAATCGTTCGAGTGTTCTGGGTGGTTGCCAAGGCATTGCCACGCGGTATCTAGAGTGTTCTAGATGGTTCCCAGTGTTATGCAATCTCTAGACTGTTCTAAATGGTTGCCAGGGTTATGTGATCCCTGGAGTGTTCTGGTTGGTTGCCAAGGCATTACTACACTATATCTAGAGTGTAGAATCTAGATAGTTATCAAGGTTATGCAATCTCTAGAGTGTTCTAGATAGTTCCCAGGGTTATGCAATCTCAAGACTGTTCTAAATGGTTGCTAGGGATATGTGATCGCTGGAATGTTCTGGGTGGTTGACAAGGCATTTCTACACGATATCTGGAGTGTTCTAAATGGTTGCCAGGGTTATGCGATCTCTAGAGTCTTCTAGATAGTTGCCAGGTTTATGCAATCTCTAGAGTGTTCTGTGTGGTTGCCAAGGCATTGCTATGCGATTTCTAGCGTGTTCTAGATAGTTTCCAGGATTAAGCAATTGCTAGGGTGTTCTATAGTGTAGGGTAGTTGACATGGTGTTGCTATGCAGTTGTTTGAGTTTTCTAGGTGGTTTTTAATGGTAAAAATTGACTGTTTTGATGATATTCTGGTTCTTAGATATGCGTGGATTTAGATTCTTTTTTGCCTGTTTAATCACCCAATTAAAATCATAAATTTGGTCACTTATCAAAGTAATAGCAGACATTACCTCAATAAGCCACATGATTAAGCTATCATTCATAAGATAGAAACCATGCAGGTTAAGGATTTTTCATGTATAAGCAAAACTAATAGTGATGCTTGACAGCAATCACCAATCAACATTTACTAACTTAATGGATACCATATTAATATAATCAACAGCAAACAGTGTAATATTTGCATGCTTTATCAGTTCATTTGATGGCGAGGTAGTCAAACGGTCTGATCCAGAACAGCAGCTATGACAACCACCTGAGCTATTGTGAAACTCTGGTGTGATCTCAGACTGAGTAAAACCTGAATCTTTCAAATCGAATATGAAAACACAAGTCATAAACTCCCTAATTTCCATTTTGTCTGATATCAACATAAGCAATTTCTTACTCCCCAAAAGAAATCATCTTGGAGAGTTGTAATATAGGCTACACCGGATTATCGTGCACAGACTGAGATACTGTATGTACGCTTTCACTCCCAATAACAGGGAGGACGGATGTTTTGTCTAATATTTCACCTGAGAAACTCCCTCAGAGCGATTGGCTCTGGGCTGAAAACTGTTATTGTGACATTTAAAGGTTAAATATGGTTAAATGTCAGGGACTATGCGAGCAGGTGAGAGAGGCCCCATCCATAAACGACACATTCGAAACTTCGACAGCAAGACTAGTTCACGAGCGCTCTAAGATATCATGCCGGTACATAACATCTGACAGCTTCAAAACAAAGACACATTTTCATGATGGGGCTTTCCGGTGTTCTTTTTTATAGTTCATGTTAAATATGTACAAAACACCCGCACTATATAATCATGGTCTATGCAATCTCTAGAGTGTTCTAGATAGTTCCCTGGGTTATGCAATCTCAAGACTGTTCTAAATGGTTGCTAGGGATATGTGATCGCTGGAGTGTTCTGGGTGGTTGCCAAGGCATTTCTACACGATATCTGGAGTGTTCTAAATGGTTGCCAGGGTTATGCGATCTCTAGAGTCTTCTAGATAGTTGCCAGGTTTATG